TGGAAAAAAACTTACTTAAAAAAGGTGAGCTTAAGCCAGAATACGATGGCGTGTTGGAAGAATACCTCCATTTAAACCACATGGAGGAAGTAAGCCCATGCGAAAAAATCACAAATGGCAAATATCACTCATTTTACTTGCCTCATCACGCAGTAGTAAAGCCAGACAAAAAACAACTAAAGTAAGAGTTGTTTTTAATGCATTCAAGATCTACTAGTCGGGAATTCCCTAAATGATATTCTATTTACGGGCCCACGCTCCAACCAGATTTAAGCTACTAATTTTAATTTGGCGTATATTCAAATACGTATTTAACGGAGACGTCGAAAAAATGTATAGACAAATAGTCGTACATAAAGACGATCAAGATTTTCAGCGAATTATTTTCCGAAAATCTCCCAATAGTCCACTCCGCGACTATAAATTGAAAACAGTTACCTTTGGCGTCAACTGTGCCCCATATTTAGCCATTCGAACACTGCACGAATTGGCAGAAAACACCAAGTCAGAGTTTCCTCTGGCAACCCAGGTGTTAAAAACACAAACGTATGTAGACGATATTCTGTCTGGAAGTCACAGTCTTCCACAAGCATACGAGTCACTAGCACAAGTGACACAAGCCCTCAAAACCGCAGGGTTTCCGTTAAAAAAGATAACGGCGAACCACCCTAATATCTTAAAGAACATACCTAATGAAAATTTGTTAGATACTAATTTCCTGAAATTCGAAAAGGAAAGTACAACAAAAACTCTGGGGATCCAATGGAATGCGATATCTGACCAGTTTTCATACACTACAGAGTCAATATCTGCATTATCTGCCATAACAAAGCGGCAAATTCTATCCTCTGTGGCGAAACTTTTCGACCCCGCAGGATGGCTTTCGCCAGTTATGATACAAGCCAAAATTCTAATACAAGAATTATGGCTAGATGGAACCGACTGGGACGAACAAGTAAAACCACTTCGTTTAGAAAAGTGGTCCCAGTTTGCAAACAATCTAAACGATATCTCACAGATACAAATCCCACGATGGGTAAATTATGCCCCAGAGCACAAAGTCGAACTACACGGCTTCTGTGACGCTTCTGAAAAGGCATATTGCGCAACTATATATGTTCGCACACAAAGCGACAATGCGACCACATGCCACTTACTAGTAGCAAAAGCAAAAGTGGCTCCTTTAAAAACAATAAGTCTACCACGACTTGAATTATGTGGAGCGCTACTACTAGCCAAACTCGTGTCCATCGTACAAACGCATTTAAACATGGCACAATACAAACTATATCTGTGGTCCGATTCTGAAATCGTACTCGCCTGGTTAGAAAAACCACCACATGCATGGAAGACGTATATTTCATCAACGTCTCAAATCCTTGCTAGTAGGATCAGCCACTTGGCGACATGTAGCCAGTGCTGACAATCCTGCTGATCTAGGTACAAGAGGATGCAAACCCCTGCATCTTGCCACCCACCACCCTCTGGTGGAATGGCCCAGATGGTTACAGAATCTTCCGATTCTTGGCCACAATCGCCCATGCGCAATATAATTGCCCCAGAAAGTCGAAAAATCGACTCCTTTCATGCAACATCGGATGATACTGACATCCTTGAGCGATTCTCATCGTTCCCCCGAGCCCTCAGAGTAGTTGCATACATGATCAAATTTATAGAGCAGCTCAAAACTAAAGTTAACGGAACACCTCTAATATACCCCCAATGCGATACTTTAACGCACCTACACTTACAAAAAGCAAAAGGCGCTCTTATCGCATCTACGCAAACGCGCTACTTCAGCCGAGAAATATCATTGCTAAAAATTCGAGGCCAATCGATAAAAGAGCTCACTTTTAGTACTAAATCCCATTTCTGGACACAAGGGTTTGCTTCGTGCGAATGGTCGGCTTGTCAACTCCAGCCTGACATACAACGAACGACATCCTATAATCATACCAGAAAAAGCACGGCTTGCCACATTATATCTGCATTATGTCCACATACTGATGCTACACGCTGAGCACCGCCTAATGCAACAAATAGTCAGCCAAGAGTTTTATATTCCCCATCTTAAGCCTCAAATAAAGAAGTGCATTTACATGTGCAAAGTTTGCACAACGTACAAGCAAAAAATGCGAACGCAGATAATGGCAGCACTTCCACCTGAACGCTGCAACTTTGCTCTGCCCTTCACAACAACAGGTGTCGATTTTGCTGGGCCTTTCCAGATAAAGGTTCAATGTTAAGATCTCCCACTTTAATGAAAGGCTATGTGCAGTTTTGTTTGTTTTACACAAAAGCTGTTCACCTTGAGCTATGTACAAATCTGACGACAGAGGCTTTTCTCGCGCATTCGCTCGCTTCGTCGGACGGCGTGGTTCCTTCAAAAATTATGAGTGACAACGGCAAAACGTTTATTGGAGCCAAAAGAGCCACTGAGAAACAGTTTGTGGACTTTAACCAACAAGTCTCTCCTGAGATTGTACAGAAGTACGCACCCCAAGGCATTAATTGGCAGTTCATCTCCCCAAGCGCTCCTCATATGGGTGGTTTATGGGAATCAGCTGTAAAAAGCTTCAAATCCCACTTCAAAAAAGTAGCTGGAAACTACAAGTTTAATTATGAAGAATTCTCGACCTTATTAATTCGAATTGAAGCCGTACTCAATTCACGGCCAATCACAATCCTCTCTCAAGATCCCTCCGATTTCACCGCCCTAACTCCTGGGCATTTTCTCAAAGGAGCACCCATTCTGGCCATACCTGAGCCAGACGTGGAGTCGCTATCCTTATTAAACCGATGGGAAAGAATCAAAATTCTCCATCACAATTTTAGTCGCCGCTGGAAAGAAGATTATCTAAAGGACCTCCACAAGAGGTACCGCTGGAAAGCTCCAGAAAAGGCGCCGAAGCTTGGAGATTGCGTGCTAGTACACGATGATTGTCTCCCCCCTACCGAATGGCGGCTTGGTCGCATAGAAAAGCTACATTATGGCTCCGACGGTCATATAAGAGTAGTTGATCTCCGTACCCAAAAGCGGAACGCTTACCAGACCGCTCGTGAAGCTGTGCTTTCTACCAACCGCAGATATAAACGAAAAAGCAAATGATAAACGATAAACCGATCATAATCCCGAAAACGCAATTCATAACCGTTTCAATAAATCGACTAAAAAACACGAAAAGACAATAACTCGCAAACTCGACAACAATCCGTATATATAAGTATATAAGTATATAAACTAACGAGTCGATCAATATGACGACCCTCTCATGCTACCAAGAGTTGTAGAATGCCAATTTCAACTTATATCTTAAAACTTTATAAAGCCCAATAATCTTTTCTACATAGATAACTATGGACGCAGATGCACCTATGCCAACGCCTGCTATTCGGTCGGCTATCAATGTGCCGCGACCTGGGGTTACTCCAGCGCCCCGATCTGTAACTGCAACCGCTCCTACAGCCGCTCCTCGAAGTAGCGCGCGACCGTCACCCACAGCAAACAGGGAACCGCAGCGCGTCCGGTGCATCATTTGCCGCCGCCCTCACCGACTACAACACTGCAACATTTTTAGAGGCATGCAACCGATGCAACGCCAGCAAATTGCCCAGGCTCATGGGCATTGTCTCAATTGCTTGACAGCGGCACATAACACACAGGAGTGCACGTCCGTCAATCTGTGCCAAATATGCGGCAGGTTGCATCATACGTTGCTCCATCGCAACCCGAGACGTGACATCGGTCGGCCGCCTGCCCCGCGCAGCCGCCCTCCAAGTAGACAACCACTATCTACTCGGGCAATACAGCATCGACGACCAGCAGCCCCTCCTGTGTCCCGATTAAGGAGCCACCGAAACGAAGCACCAATGATGCGCCGGCACTCTAGGCCGCAATATCGCCGCTCTACGGGACTGAGCAACGTTGTAGCAACGCTGCAACAGCTGCAACGACTCTTAGGCTAAACATTCGCCTAGGGGGGCCGGGATGGCTAAATGAGCTATCTATTATATATTATTCCCAGCAAACATCCCTGCACACGCACCACACACCACTTCACAAGCAACACTGATAAATTCCAACACACCACAACATTACCATCCACTCCTGAAAACACCACACACCAATACATACAACTTTACACAATTCACCGAGGGATACCAACACACACCACACCTTCAACATACCCACGATCTCACCACTACCCAACGAACAAAAGGGATGGACGATTGGACACGGGGCCCTTTTTTCGATCGATCGCCGTCGTATACGCTTCAGCTGAGTCCTGTTTGTGCGCCAACCCGGATATCTATATTTTCATCTCGTTTTTCAAATAATTTTTAAACAACTTTATAGTTTGAAAGACTAAATAAAATTGCAAGTTGGAAAAGCCTTTATTAATTTTTTAACCATATTTGTTCTGTTTCATTTCGGGAGCGTGTAAAAGTGGTGAGTGTTGTGGTGCACTTTAGTATTAAACTATTTAGGTATAAAAAGATCTTTATCTTGATCCTGCGGTTTGTATGGCAGCTATAGTGGCTTCTTGGGGAGAAAAAGAAGGGTGCAAAATTTCAGATCAATATATCAAAAATTGAGAGACTAGTTCGACTCAGCTCGTCATGCTGATCATTTATAATGTGTAATATGTATGTATATATTTTATAGGTGTATTATTTAATAATAATAATCAATATTTGTTTTACATTCTAAAACAGTATTTTCCCATTCACAGCATTTAAACACATCAGCTGTAAAGGTTAACGATTCTAATAAATAACTTGTTGTTAAAATCTACAATTTAGAGTACTTACGAAAATTTTGTCTCAGCGACGCCACATACTAATTTCGTTGTGTTTGTTAATCGATGTTATTTTGGTTTATTTTTTTTATCAAGGATAACCCTAGCATAGGTACATTGAATTGCATAGTTTTCTTGATGAAACACAGACTTCTGATTTTCCGGATAAACAGTGAATCCATGTTCCACATTCAGTAAGTGAAGATAACCAGAAACTTCACTATGAAGCGTGAATTTTGTTTGTTTTTGTTGAGACCTTCAGTTTGTCCCGACTAGTTTATGTTGAGCGATTTTGGGATTTCGTTGCTCGATTAATACTGGTAATACATTCTGGATACATACATATATATAGCATGACAGCTGGTTTGACAGCTATCCCTGTAGGGAATTTTGAAACTAAAAACCTAAAAATATTTTCTATAGACGTTTTTTTTGGCGAAGAATCGCGTAAAGTGTTAACAATCGGTCCGCAAATTCTCAAAATATAGAATTGTCATCTCCGATTTGACATAAATCAGTTCGCGCAAGCGTTTAATTCTTTACTATAACTTCGGTACTTCATACGAAGTAGTTAGCTTCGGTTGAATGAAATATAGTTAATAATTTTTCAATAATATATTTCAGTATAGCATATTATTCATTTAAAAATAAAATTTACGTTATACATTTTTTATTTATTTTTGAAATAAAATTCACTCCAAAGCAGAGCGAACAAGGATCAGATCGGTATACATACGATATATAATAATACAAGTATGTATATATGTTTTTTTTACAATAAAAAAGTGCGTCTTATTCTTCTAGAAACCCACCTTGTTAAGTTCAATTCACATCAAGTCGAATCGCTCGAGTTTATGAACTATAGTCTGGAACATTTCAGCAATGCGAGTCTAATAGCAAATATGAATGTATGGCAAATCGAAGTGATGTGAATGTCTGTGCTTTAATGTCAAGCACCTTTTCAAAGTAATTTCATTTAAAGTATTTATCAGAAGGCATACATTAATGCGTCGACATTATGTCCGATCCAGAAGAGTAAATATCTGTTATAATCCAAAGACCACGTAGCCACAATTTCATTCGATTGGCACTTATCAAATAATGATACAATATGAATATGATGTGTCAGCGAGGGGTAAAGGGGAAATGCTTAAGCTAATTTGGAATTATAGTGTGGAGAATGTGAAATAACTTTTAGCAGATGTTTTAATAACACTCTAAATAGAACGAATAACAATAAAGGATATCTGGCTTCAACAATACCAATCTAATTTAGTTCGCAACCTTTTCCAAATTCTAATAAAATCTTATTTGAAAACTTAGCTTGACAACAATATTGCAGGTTTCTTCTTATATGATTAATTTCATTGATTAAAAACTTTAAACCGGTGACAAACACTTCTACTGGCCACTCTTTTACAAATTATTTTCTACTTTGAACCTTTGAGTTCCTTTTTGCGGAGACTTCTATTTAAATAGTTCGGTCACCTTATTCATTTAGTTTTATTACAATTTGCAATAGGTTATTATCCAAAGAATCGTTAGAATCTCCGTATATATTGTTCAGATCGGACGACTATAGTATATATGTAGCTGCCATTCACACTGACCGGTTATAATCAAGATAGAAATCTTCGTAAAATATCTTTTTCCTTATTATGTTGGGTGACCTTGATTCGACCTGAAGGTTGCTTATATCAAACAAACTGATATATTTTTCTTAGATAATTCGGACTACATACACCTCAAAAAAAGTAGCCAATTTATCCTGAACGACCTTCGACCTGTATTCGTTCGATAGATGACAAAATATTAAGTTTTTTACAATAACAACAATAGCAATTATACAATTCAGCAATGAAATTATAACCTTACAAATCAATATTATATATATATCCGTTATGTCTGTTATAAAAATAGCAGAAAATAATATCTATTTATATTAATGTTGTTTTATTGGAATTCGATTAACTGCCATCTCCTCTATAGAAAGTTATTTATTCTAACGTTGCTCACGTTTCGCAGTCGAGACATGCACCTGTCATAATATAATAACAACAATTAAAATGAGGAAATTAAAAAAAAAAACACATATGAAGAAATTCGTTGGAAAATTTTGTTATATGCAATTATTTTTGTTATTGTATTATCAATATACGAATTTATAACGTTGTCGCGTGCGTTGCGTCAATTTTTGATGGTTTTGATTTGTGAGTTTCGATATATTCTGTAAGTTTTATGTCGTAGAGCCTAGCATATGTCAGTTAACATTGCGGCAATTGCTTTATTCACAGATCCACCGATTGATTTCGTATTAATAGCATTGCATAGAGCAGTAGACGGAAGCACAATGGAAGCTATTGCGTAATGTCACATATAGGTATTATTATTGTGCTCATAATTCATTGTGTGGATGTGGATTGAAAGCGAAAGAAAGAAGGTCCAAAAGTAGAGATTAAAGAGTTACTTTTATTTCCTTTACTCCACAGAGATTAATAAATTTTTTGAATTAAAAATATATATGTTTTTCATAATAGTTCCTTATTATAAACTAACTTTTATTTGCATTTTAAATTAAGATAAATCTGAAACTATCCAATTCGAGTAGTTTAAGTTTCGTTGACTGACTTTCAACTATTTATCGTTCAGCAGATATTTTTTTAGATCTTTTTAGGACTGGTCTCATCCGATCAGACAGGTTCTGTACTTTTAGATCCCGTAAGAGACATATACATTTATACAATTGTATATACTTGGGCTTCAAAACTATTAGACTAATTTGAACGATATTGTCAGACAAGCCCTAAAAGGGAGAACCAGGCATTTATCTTCTTGATTTTAATAAAGAGCAAGAAAAAATGTTATCATCGGTTGCAACGAAGCTACAATAAGCTTAACAAATACCAAATATTTCATCCAAGAACCTAATTTTGATCGATCAGTTTGTATGGCAATTATATACTATATTTGTTCTATATTAACAGTTTCAACAAATGAAAAGCTTCTTGAGGAGAAAAGAACGATATTTAAAAAAAATGTGGGAATAGTTCGCATATGGACGGACAGACGAAGATGGCTACATCGCTTCAGCTTGTCAAACTGATCATTTATATATACATTTTAAGGGGTCTCTGACGTTTTCTTTTGGGTGTTACAAACATCGTGGCAATCTTCGTTTAACCTGTTCAGGGTATAATACAATTTTTATGATACAGAGTGTACCATTATTCCTTTTAATCAAGTTCTTATGAAAAACATGAAAGAGACAACAGCTCTGGGATTTTCAAAAAGCTATGACTTTAAAGTGAGACTTCCTTACAATTTTTTTAATACAGTGGGACGGGTTTTGACGGCCGAATCGTATTTGAACATGCTTGTTCTTATTGGCTAACTAATTTAATCGATAGTTCTTTCTTTTTACACGACACGATGACAGTAAATCTCCATCGGCGCGAATTTTTTTAAAATTCCGTATCATCTTGACTTGGTTGCTCGCAATACGAGCTTCTAAGATCTAAACTAGATATGGAAAGTTCGAAGAACGTTGAAATACTCCAATATAATTCATAGTAATACCGTAAAAGTGCTAGGTACTTATACCTTTCTCGCGAAAGACACAAATGTTGATTTTTCATAGCCTGATTCTTAAAATATATGGTTGTAATTAATTTCTAATTTCCGATATTAGAACTGTTTCCCTGGTTTATTGCAGTAGGTTTATTTGGTTTGGTACGCGAAACTTACTCTCAGTTTCAGCTAGAATTGAATCTCCTTTAAAAACCATTATTGTTGTTCTGCTTAAAAGAAGTCGTTGTAACACTATGTTATATCAGTTGTTTTAGCATTGCAGCATGGTTTCTGAAATATAGTATTTACAGGAAGAAAGTACTTAGGATATCTTCATAACCGAAGGAGGATATATAATGGCAGAATATCTCGATCCATTTTCTAAATTAGGAAGAACATAATATTATATTCAGAACGGAATTAATGTAAATTGGGCATACCTAAACTATGATTATAGTTACTATTTTCTCATATGCTAAAGAGTAGAAGGCGTAGTGCTATGATGAAGTCAAGAATTTTACCAGACTTCTTTGGGCTAGTTTAGTTTTAAAATAATAAACAAATTCCTCAAGCTTTCAAAACGATATTTTAAACTTACCTAGTGTATTTCAGAAGAGTTTTCTCTAATTTTCCTCCTAATCTTGTAAAGATGTAAAATTTGCAATAAACTCGTTATATAAATAACTTTTTCAAGAACATTCTTGATTTAAATAAATCAAAATAAGTTTGGCGCTTAAGAGATAAAAACGAAGTATTATTTGTATGTCACAAAAAGCAATAAGAATTTAATTTCCTTAACCCACCCCCACAAAATTCTACACCAAATTTTTTCAACAGCTGTTCCACTTGTTCAGGTGTATGAATTGGTTAGTAGAGAATCCCGACGGTGCAGTTATGTCACGCATGTAGAACGCATATGTGATGAAAATCGCGCTCTCGCAGCGGATGGCATTGCGGCTACTCAAACCTGTGCCGCTGATGGTTTTGGTTCTTTTTGCCGCAGAGTGGTACGAGTATACATATATACATAAACATACATACAATGTAGAGATATAGGAGAGTATACTCAATACCATCACAGCACGTGTACTGCGAATATGTTGGCATGCGTTTGTGTTGTATAGGAATGTACATAAATGTGCACGAGCTTTGGGCACATTCACTTCTCCAGCTAAACGTGGCGAAAAAAAATTGAATTTCTTCATTCACTATGCCCGAGAACGTGTGTAAACGTTTCCTGCTGTGCACTTGGCAGGTGTTGCCAGTTCTCTGCAATTAGTTGCTTGTATGACGGTGTAAAACAATTGAGCATACCCACTGTACGTAGTCGTTGTGGCACCTGGATGTCGTTGCGGGATCCCGAATTCCAGTCGAATTTGTATGTTTGTTTTGCAATAATCTTAGCTCTTCACATTATTTTGGAACACATTCTGATCTGATTGATAAAAATAATATATCGAGACTGATTATGTGGGCAAAAAAGGCGACAAATTTGTATCGACTTCGACTTAAGTTCAAATAGATGGACTTATTTTAATGAAGGTTATTTTGGTATTAGACTGGTTGCCGGACCACTGTAGTATATTTCAAGCAGAGGTTTTTGCTATTGGGATAGTCGCAGAGCTAGTCTCTAATGCATTAGCAGGCAACTCCAGAGTCAACATCTATATACACAGCCCAGCACCAATCAACGCAGTAACCTCGTATCGCATACCGGCCAGAAGTGTCTTCAGTAGCAAGGCAGCAATGGAGAGCGTCGCCAGGAACCAGCGACTTCACTTCAATTGGGTGCCAGGTCACAAAGGTATCGATGGTAATAAGATAGTGGACGATATCGCTAAGAGTGGTGTACGGCTGTCATGCGAAAACGTGCCCGATGGAGGGTTAATATTCGATGGTATGATCTACAAGTATCAGGATGCAAAACTGCAAAAAGTCAATTGCATAGCCGTTGATAAATAGATACCCAAAGTTCTTGCTCACTCTTGATAGTACAGATTGTAGGAACATGATTCGAATACTCACTGGTCACAGTCACAGAAGCCGCAGAATCATTTGAAACTGACATCAAGGGATGGCATCCCGAAGGATGACTACTGTTCATCAACTACGTAACGGCCCTCCATCTAGCATCGCTAAGGAACAAACGGGTCTATGCATGGCTCTTGAGCCTACCAGACTAACCTAACCTATTAGTGTTACAGGTGCAGGATTCCTTAAACTCTTTATGTTTGCTCAAAAGTTTTTCAAAAATAAATAACAATTAATCACCGGATCCGACAAAACGCTACATTCGGGATTTACACCTAACAAAGGTCTGTCCATTCAGCTGATAAAAAAATCGCCAGATCGGTCTAAACGGGACAATCGGGACATTTAATCAAGGTCTGTACCTTAAGATGATAATAAAACAGCAACAAAATGGACGAAGACAATTTGAGAGTGCTATTTTAATTGAATTTATTGTAATATTTATTTGTGTTAAAATTTTTAGTTCGAGTGGGTGGTACTATATAAAATAAGAAAAGTAAGCTAATATATTAAAATTTTTGTCCATTTCTTCGCAATTAATTTTTCAGAGCTGGCAACTCAATTTTTGTAATAAAATAAAAATATTAATCAATTAAAATAATAATACAACTCGGTCATGCCTTTTAGAGGTTAAGCAAAACACGCAAACAGTAGATACATTTTGTTTGGATTGAAGAAAAAAATCACTATTCACTTCTGAAATCGGGATCCCTAAATTTTATTATTGAAATACCGAAATTTCGGGACTGATATTATTTCGGGTATATTTGAAAGAACATAAAATTTTGAAAGGGGTTGGCATGTTTTAACGTTTGGTGCAGTAGGCACTTGATGTATGTTCCTAACCATCTACATATGTACAGATGAATTTATGTCTGTATGTATACATACACATATGTGTGCAAACGTATGGGCAGTTATGTAAAAATGAGTCTTCATTTGTAGGCTGATAATTGCGGTTGACTTTAGTAGTTACGCCTACATTGGTAGCCAACGATTTACAACCGTTAATTGCTTGCAATTAAATGCAGTGCGTTCAGCTATTTTAATGGCGCAGAAAACCGTGTTTTTTCAAGAAGAAAAAAGAAACGGAGTAACAGAAAAGAAATCCCAAACAAAAATTCTTAAATAGTGTCCTTTCTTCTGTTCACCTGCTTTATCTACTATTAATCGTTCTGCAGCGTGCGTAAACGCTCATTATGCACGTTTATAGCGGCTGTTTATATGCTACATAAATTATTTGAGCGCGCACAAAATGACATTACACTAAACTTTAGCTCACAATTCTTTTTTTGTCTGTAGTTATACTCGTTACGGTGCCATCAATTTTTCCCCTAATGACATTCTTGTGTTCTTCACCAGGAGTTTCTCATTTTCATCTGCTTTTGCAAATAAATAATTCTGTCACATTATCATGCTCGGATATTAAGTAAATATTTTATTCCATCACGCTTCAGCTTAATTACCTTTGTATTCCATTTCCGTTTCCGTGAAAGTATTTGGACTGATTTAGTGATCCTTATTCATATTATTATAAGGTTCGTCTGCGAGGTTGAAGTGTTTTCGAACATAAGCTTAATCCTTTGTCATCTGATATTGCGAGCTAATAAAATTCAATAAAACGTTATCAAGCCAGAAAGGTGGATTAATTTTTTATGGATGGCAAGACTTTTAAAAACAATTTCTTTCTTTAATGCCGTGAATTAGGCTCTAAAAATTAAAGAAATAATGTAATTTATGCATAGCGTTCAATTAGTAGGTTCTAAATTACAGTGAGAGCAGTTGAAAAGAGTATTTTTGTATACTCTCTCAATTTGTTTGAACACAGAAAGCAGAGATACTATGAATAATAAGGCTTAGATAAGTAACCAAATATAAAGCATTTCAAACAAAATGTAAAATAAACATATTTCATCAAATAGTGCTGCCATCTGTTTTCAACAAAAATAGTTTTGCAAATAAAAATTCAAAAGTGCTTTTAGAAAGTCCATAGCTAGAAGCAGTCAATGTAAGTTATAATAATAATTGTTATTATAGACAAACTTAAATATAGAGTTGCCATAGGTGTGCATTGTACACAATTATAAGTTGTGTTTATAAGATTTACTAGATTTACACTCAAATGCTGGAATACATTTTTAAATAGGGTTGCCACTAACTTTAAAAGAGTTTAAAATGAATGTTAATGGCGCTTTATACATTTTTTAATTTTAAATATTTTATTTTACATACGCTTGTCACCAACTTTTATAAAATTTGTAATATTAAATAGGAAACATTTTGAAATGAGCAGAGAAGTTCTATTATTATAGAACTACTATTTACTGAAGCATTTTAGCTCCTTTGATTGTGACTGTTTCGCTCACTTTAAAATCATTTGCCATAATGGACTTTATTAGCGTTTTCTTCAATAAGAGCTTATTTTTGAGTATTACGCAGGTAATTTTCACATTTTTATTTTTTATTAGTAGGTGGCAACTCTGCTTCTAATTTTTTTTCGTTACAAATTCTGCTCAAACTGGGTTTATTTGGTTACTACATATTTTAAAATTTTCGATGGAAATTCTTCTTTTTTTAAACGTGGCAACTCTTGTAAAATACCTATTTTGTTCTAAGTGCTTTTTAATATATTTCTAAAATACCGTCAATTTTAGATTTACACATCATTTACATATTGAAGTAAACTTTAATTTCCACGCAGGTGGCAACGCTTTTAAAAGTTGCCAACTTCATAGTTAAATTTTCTTGATTTCCATGGAGCTCCGTGAAAATTTTAAGGATTTCGAAATCCGTAGGGAGCATACATACAATATACATAAGACGCCAGATACAAATATTTTTAATTGTATTGTAATTATTTTTAGTAATTAAACACTAAAAACATCCTGAAGCACAAAAAACAAGAAAAAACTTTAACTTCGGTTGCACCGAAGCTGTAATACCTTTCACAAATACAAACGGTTCCTTTCAAGAACTTGATTCAGATCGTTCAGTTTGTATGACAGCTATATCGGCGGTTTCCTGGCAGCTTTTTGAGGAGCTTAATCGACTCAGTTCGTCATGCTGATCACTTATACATGTGTATATTTTATATGGTTTCCGACGTTTCCTTCTGGGTGTTACAAACTTCGCTACAAATTTAATTATACTCTGTTTAGGGTATAAAAATGATAAAATTGTGAGACTAATATTCTGGAAATCTCCCAAAAATGACTTAACAGGAAAACTGATGTTTTACTTGTGTGTCTCGACATATATTGGCTGCACTTTTTACAGGTTAGAAATTTTCTAGAGAGAGATTTTATATCGTATGGTTTGATAAATTGCTATTTAGACACTAAGTCAAAGTTTAAAAATATTGAAAATTATTGCGAATTTTCAGTTTTTTCCAGGAAATATTTATATTAATATTATTTTAATTATTGAGTAAGTTGTGTGCGTATAAATAGTGGCAAAATATTTATATTGACTATGACAGAATAGTTTCGCACCTCTTAAGAAACACCCTTTAATAATATAAATAGTCCATATATTGTTCGATATTCATAAAAATATACTCACATTTATATCTTTTTACTTTGATTTTGGTTTAATAATAATTAATAATTGAAAATTGAACATCAAAGTAATGTTTACGGTACCGTTAGCTCCAAAATGTAATTACTCACTCTCTTCGATAATTACAAATTAAAAATTTAAACTCTACTGTTAATTAAGTTATTATATATTTTACATAATTTAATTTCGAACACGAAATAATGGTAAAAAGTTTTGACAACTCTGCCACAAACAAATACACAAGCACGTGGGCGATGAGCGGAAAATCCACGAGCTGACAGTTAACCGTTTTTTTGTAAAAAGCGGAACACCTTTTAATCACTCAAATGCCACAATCAAAAGAATATAAAAAAGGACAAGCGTAAAAGGAAAATGAAAAAAAAAATTTTTTTTTTGACAGCTCAATAAATATTTTCTTCTTTGTTTGAATAATTTTTTGTGCCAAAAGTCGTGCGGCATGTCAGCAGGTGGATGAAAGAACGTGTAAAATGGGTAAAAACTTTTTGTGGAATTTGTCGAAAACATAGAAAAAAGTTGTTGATCGAATTTGGCGATTTTATAATAAATAAACGAATACTGTTGCCAAAAAGGTAGCTGAGGTTAGTTAAATATATAATATAAATGTATGTATATAGGTATTTGTATTAGGGTGGAAAATATTTCTGAAATTGCTGATAAGTGTTGCGAATTATTCGTGGCCTAGTCAAGAAATATATGTAAGTCTCCCCCTAACGGAAAATAAAACCGTAAAATATCAGTTATGAAGAAAGTTCGATAATAAAAAGAGACTGCAGATTGTATAAGTAATGTTAGGTAAAACTATACTTATAAATTTAAAGAATTCTGATCTGGTGTATTGAATAATCAAGAAGTATTATATGAGACCACATAGCCCTGTAGGAAACAGAAAGACATTCAGAAGAATTATTTTTAGTTTTTATTTGTTTTTTTTTTTTTTGTATTTTCTTAATGTAAGTGGATACATATTATTTTTAGTTTTGCCATGTGAAATATACATGAAATACTTTTTGATGACCACAATATATAGTTAAAAAATTTTCATTTAACGGCAACTCTATTTCGGCAGTTGTTAACTTTATTCCTGAGTATTTCTAAAGTAAAAACTTTACATTCTCACATTTTTTTACGAAAGGCTTGCTTTAGCATTTTATATTAGGCACTTATGGATAATTTTTGGTCCAGCACACGTTTTTCCAATATGTGGCAACTTTACTCTTAGGCTTCCTTCCTTCTGTTACCTATACTTTACCAAGAACTTTATTAAACGTCTTTTGGCGCTCAAGTTCCAATATTTTATTTATTTGATGATTGTATCTGTCAGACATTCGTTTTATTTTCAGTTTTACTATTTTTGATAGGTGGCAACTCTGTTTCAAAATATGGCTTTGTTATTAATTTCTCCAAGTTTTTTTTAGATATCTTACGTGTTATGACACGAATTTTTTAATATTTTGTTTCGCATAAGTTCGATGGGTGGCAACACTATTACTTATATGACGAATTCGTAAACTTCCGATTTTTTTAGAATCTGTGTATTTTTATATATTTTGTCATATTTTTATGATTTTTATTAGGTGGCAACTCCATTATGTACTTTGACTAAATTGAAGAATTCCGAAATGAAAAAAGTTTAAATTTTTATTAGAATCCTTTATTTTGTTAAATTTTTCTGAAAATTTTTTAACGTAATAGTAGGTGACAACTCTGTTACACAATATGACTAAATTGAATAATTCTTAAATTATCGAATTTTTTTAGAACCCTCGTATTTTAATATTTATTTTGTTATATTTTCAACGTTATTATTAAGTGGCAACTCTGTTCCAAATTATGTTAAAATTAAAAGTTTACATAATACTTCCTGCCCGATACGAATTTGTTTTATTGCTTAGTTTTGACTTGCTGTCTTCGCCGATGAACTTTCTATTCTTAAGTCTTATTTATTTGTTTTCAAGAGATTTTCCCGTAAATAATCGCTACTCTTTTTTCTGTCATAAAAGTTGAGCCCACCCTAATGTAGGAATTGTATTGGAAATAATGTAAATGTTAGTAAAATGTGCGATAACTGACACTTTTATTTGGACATTCACACACATACATACACACCCATACCTATATATACATATATATATTCACAAGAGCATTCCTGCGTCTCAATGTTACACAGTTATTGCGTGCGTGGAATAATTTTGGTATCTTCCGCTATCGATTAAAAAAATTTCCTTTTTTCATAGCAAACATTTTGTAATTCTCTCTTTATTGCGTTTCGCTGTTGGTGATATCGAATTATTGGCATTAAATGAGAAATTACATTGTCTACAAAAACAACTAATGTAGAAGGCAAAACATGTAGGCGACAGCTTTAACCGTTATTATAGGAGCTTTACGATGTCCAACACATTCAATAGCGGAGAAAATCAACGTTGAACAAAAATAATCACCGTTATCATATTAATTTTCATTTTGTAAATTCATCGGTTCGCGTTATATTTTACCTTTCTTTAGTTGATTCAACTTTTATTTTTATTTTTACTTCCTTTATTGTTGTGATTAGCAGGAAATAACTCTGAAAATATGTACGAAACTCAAAAACAATTGTCATGTCAAACACTAAATGGGAAAATTAGCTTCGCACATTTTTCACTGCTGACAAGTCATTCTATCAGTTATAACAGTTATGAATATATGTATACTATAAATAAATGTAAAGTAAGGTTATGTATGGCTACATTGATATACTGTTTTTTTTGTCTTACGTTGTTTTAGAAAGGTCTCTTTAGCTATTTTTCTTTGTTGTCATTTTGAATTTGTCTTCCAAATTATTTGGCTAGTAAATTTGTTCGACATAACATAAAATTTTTTAAATTTATTATTTTCTTATCTTTTCCGGTTTCTAAAATGTTAATTCTAAGAAGAAACGATCCGTTTAATCTCTCCTAACACCAGAGTTATGCCACGAAATTTTCTCTGTTCCCCTCGGAATATAAACTTAACTGTTTCCCTTATTACGGCTTTTGCTTTTCTTGGTTGTCAGTCAGTCGAATTTCTTGCTGCTATATCATTTTAAGTAATCCGGTTTGGTAGATTACGAACAGATCAGAACAGTGAAAGATTAAAACAGTCAAAGATCTATTGAATACAAAAGAACGCAGAAGAGACTGAGGAATTGTTGTATACTTTAAAACCTTCAGTTTTGCATCTAGAAAATCTATAAGTCTTTTCAATCTTTGCTTAAAACGATTACTCTTTCGAGATGTTAAGTCGATTTTGCCTCAATAACGATTTTCCATTATCATTTCGATTAACTTGAAAACTAAAGGGAAACCATAAATCAAATGATATATGTAAATAGATATATAGAAATAAAGGTATTTGTGATCTTCGGCCAATTGTGCGCCTCCCACACTCCGATCACTTCTTCTATTCCCAAAAATGCGCTTGGGTAATGAGAGCTACGCGATAGTTTTGCGTATACGTCAGCCCGATCACTTTGTTCATCCTTTTGGCAATCGTAACCCATTCAAGGACTGTTTAGATATCTTTAGCGCAAGATCGCAGAAACAGTTTCCGTCGATCAAATGCTCACCTATAGCTAGTACCGATGATTTTTAACATTTTTTCGTTCTCCCGAATATTTTCATTGAAGATTTGTGAACTCATTCCGATCACGTGATCCATTAGCTTAACTTTAATGTACAATTGACATTTTTGTTTATTTACTGCACCACTCAGATAAAAGTGAGCCTCATCGAAGAAGATGATTTTCATAAAAAAAGTTAACATTACTGAATACAATGAAAAAAATTTACAGATCATGATAAATAAACTTTTAATAAATTTGATATTTGAACTTTGAATGTGTGATAATCAAGCAATTTACATTATCACACCTAAAAGTATGCAGCCTCCTATACGATTTCACGCCTTCTCTGCTCCCAAATGTATGCTACATACATCTGGTAAATAAACCTTTTTAAAATTTTATGCGTGTACGAGCGATTATTTAGACGTAAAATTTTACGCGGAAGCGTATTGTAGCACGCACATTTATACACAAATCCATATGTACAAGGGCAAACGAACCATATTAGTAAATATTTATGGAAGTATAATTTTGAGCGCAGCACGTGCGCGGTGTTGCATACAAAATTTTATTTGCTATTTGCATATGTATAAAATATGTATGTGTATATGTTGGTGCTGAAAATGACGGTAAGGAAAAAAATAACGTATTTCTTATACATGTAGGTATTTTTTATTATTTATTTAGAAACAATTGTTCCTTTTTAATTCACTTATTTATTTATTTTTATTTTTATTTTTAGCATTACATGCACATTTACATTATTCTTACGTCACATGAACATATGTAAATATATAACAAGCAAGGGAGGGCTAAGTTCGGGTGCAAACAAACATTACCTCGAAATTTGCAATTTAAATTTGATTGCTTGAACTTTTAACACCAAATAACTTTTTGTTTCCTGAGGACACGAAAATATTTTAATGAATTATTTTTAAATTAGTAAATATCGGAAAATCGTAAATTTAAAGACTAACTCTAAAAAAATATAGCAGATAATGAACGATATTAAATATATATGTTATTTGTCCAATATATGACTTTAGTATTCTGTATCCCACGTTGTAAATATAAGTCGGTGTACGCTATATGGCTTTAGAAAGATAAGATTTCGTACTAAGAACTACGTAGACAGATTGCTTGAATCAGTATTGTATGATATGTATATATATATATATAGCTATATAACTATATTTATATGATATATATATTTTACAGTTCTTCTTCGTTAAAGGCGAAAACCCATTGTTTCAATTGCGCAGATACCAAATATTGCACAAAAAGCCGTTTCAATCTTTTAATTAAGGTTGGCTAGCAAAAAGAAGCTCGATGTATGAGAGCCAAACGAGAAAAAAACCTCGTGGACCGAATTTACAATAAAATCGATGCATTTCTGAAGCGAATGTTTATTGGTGATGGAGAGTGGCTTACTTACATAGGTTGCCTTTCAAATTTCGGAATTTGGCAACCATAGTGTTGCAATCTGGCAACTCACAACTTTATTAAAAGTTTGACATTTTTGATGTTATACATATCAGAACGTTTTGACTTACAAGCAATATTTGTGTTGTTTACAGTAACTTAAAATATTCATTTTGGCCAAAAAAATGAAATTAAAACGCGAACATTTTTGCGCGATTATTTTTGAACTTAATTCAATGTTTGGTGATGAAGCTCCATCAAGTGAATCATGTGAACTATTCTGCGGTTGAGACAACTATAAGTGGGACAAAACACATTCAATATTGCATGAAATAAATTAAGAGGTCAACGTTTTTTGACACCTGAAGAGGCGGTTAATACGTTCAGAACGCATATTTTGGAGATACCTCAATCAAAGTGCTTCCAAAATAGATTCAAACGCGTGCAACAATGTATACATCTTAATGGAGAATATTTTGAAAAACAATAAAACAATTTTCGCTGATTAAAGTTTGTTTTTGTTCTCTAATCCCGAAATATAAAAGGTAACCCTCGTACAACAACATCA